ATGGAATGTCCTCAAAAAAAGTAAAGGTACAACTACCATATAATCCAACAACCCCACTCCTGTGTACACACCCAAAGGAAATGAAAGCACTGTATAGAACACACAACTGCATCCCCTTGTTCAATTGCAGCACTAATCACAGCAGTGAAGAAATGGAAACAACTTCAGTGTTCACTAACTGAGGAATGGAGAAGAAAACGTGGTTCATACGTACAGTGGAATATTTGGCCATAAAAATGAAATCCTGTCTTCTATAGCAACACAAACGGAAGCACAGATGATTATTGTAAGTGAAGTAAGTCACTCATGTGGGTAATCTAGCAAAGGTGATCTCACAGAATTTGAGAGTGAAATGGTGGGCAACAGAAGCCCAGGGGAGTGGTGTGGGATGGCATGGTTGGGGAAGTTGGTCTGTGGTAACCGGGTTGCAGTTGGATGAGAGCGAGATGCTCTTGGATGTTACTGCAGAAGAGGGTGATGATAGACACTGCTTGTTTCAACAGCTAGAATGCACTCTATGCTTCGATAACTAGAAGAGATTATTTTGAAAGCTTTCACCATAAAGAAACAATAAATGCTTAAGGAGGTAATGTTTAACCTGATTTAAACATACCTACCTTACACCTACATCAAACATTCCATGTCGCCCCATTAATATGGACAACTTTTATGGTTTTTATGTATCAGTGGGATATTTTTTTAAACATTTTGGTTACATTGAAAGAAAACTTAGCAATTTTTGCACAACTGTGATCCAATAATTGCACTGTGCAGTATTTGCATTCACATATATTTATAACAACTTTATTCATCGTTGCCAAAACCAGAGGCAAAGAAGTTGTTCCTCAGGAAGAGTGGACACAAGCTGTGATACAACCATAAACTGGAACGTTGTTCAACATTACGAAGAACCAAGCTATCCAGCCATGAAAAGGCATGGAAGAAACTTAAGTGCAAAGAAGCCAGTGTGAAAAGGCAATAAACTATGATTCAAACTGGATGTTACTCCAGAATAGGAAAAACTATAGAGATGGTAAGAAGGTCAATGGTTACCAGAGTTAGGGTGAAGGGGAACCCAAGACTTTTAAGACAGTGAAGTTACCCTAATGCCCTGCAGGAAATTATAATGGTATATTCAAAGACGAGAGCGAGCTACAATATAAACTACAGACCCTGGGGGACAGTGGCATGTCATTGTAGGGTCACCAAATGTACCACTTTCAAGTAGGGTGTTGATCATCAGGAGCAGGGTGGGGATAAAGCACACCTGAGCTCTCTGCATTCTGCAGTTTTGCTATGAGTCTAAACTTGCTTTAAAAAATAAAAGTATTTAAAAATAGCCAACAAATGCATAGGAGCACGTCTAACAAATATAAGACTTCCATATAGAAAAGTAAAAATAAAAAAGTAAAAATAAAAATAAAGTAAAAAGTAAAAATAGTAAAAAAAGTAAAAAGTAAAAATTAAAAATGTAAAAATGTGCTAAAATTAAGGAATGCATTGTTTATGGGTTAGAAGATTTGATAGTGTTTTATGTATATTCTCTCCTAAATTAACTGATTTAAATCTCTGAATTTTTTGTGGAAATTGAATGTTTCCAAAATTCAAATAAACCTCAAGATTATCTTTAGAGAAAAAAAAAATTTGAGATTGATACTGACAGACATCAAGACATTTATGAAGCCACAGTAATTCATATTAAATGTTTTGACATTTGTCCATACTAAATGTATGGACAGATCATCAGAATGAATAGAGTTCAGAAACAAGCCCATCTTTACATACAGGTATCTGGTTTGGGACAAAGTTACCACAGCCAAGAGGTAGAAGTGACTGTAGTAGAATGCTTCTTTACAGTTTTGGTGGGGGTTTTTTCTTAACTTTCTAGGTTAATTATTCAGGAGAGAAAAATCAGTAGAACTTGACTTCTATCTCACATTATATCCACATATCTATCCTAGAGAGAAATCAGAACTAAATTTGAGAGATAAAATAATAAAGCTTCCTGAATAAAAGAGAGAATATCTTCATGACATCAATTTTCTAAGATAAGCTAAACGGGATGCAAAAAATATTAAGTATAGCAGAAAAATTAGTAAATTGGATTTCATTAAAATAAGGCAGTTCCGCTTATCAAAGTAGATCATTAAAAGAATGAAACCATAAGCCAAAGGCTAGAAGATTTACCATTTATGTCCTGCCAAATAACTCATATTCAAAATAGTGAAGACCTCCTACAAATTAATAAGAAAAAGACAAACTACCCAATTAAAAATTGGCAAATCAACTTGAATAGGTACTATAAAAAAGTGCATTTCATGGCAAATAAGCACATGAAAAGGTTCTCAGTATCATTAATCATGAGGAAATGTACTACACATCCACTAGAATGACAAACAACAATAATGTTTGGCAGTTCTAAGTGCTGCTGAGAATGCTAGAATTTTCAAATACTGCTGGTCTCAATATCTGCCATGGAAAACTATTCAGAAGAATTTTCTAAAGCAAATGATACATATAATATCTATTGTATATGCATACAATATGGATACAAGACAATACATGGAAGATGGGCAAAAATCACAAGCACAGTGCTAAGTAAAAAGAACACATGGGCACCTACTGTGTGATTTTATTTGCATGATAATTCAAGAATAGGCACAATTTATCTGAAGTGATGAAGGTCTCCACTGACACTATTCTGTGTAGAGACCTGTCCTGAACAGGGAAAGCGCTTTAAGATATTAATAATGTTCTCTCACTTTTTTGAGATGAGTTACACAGGCACATGTAACTATTAAAACCTCATCAAGAGCTGGGGATTTAGCTCAGTGGTTCCACCACTTGCCTTGCAAGTGCAAGATCCCAAGTTCGATTCCCAGTACCAAAAAAAAGAAAGAAAGAAAAGAAAAAACCTCATCCAGCTAAACCCTACTACTTATACACCACCTTGCATGGATGTTTTGCCTGGACTAGATATTTCAAATATTCTCAAATCAACCCAAGTTAGCAGGTCATCTACAAAACTAGAGAAAACATGCAATTCTTAACATTAATGAGATCTTATAAATAAATGAGGAATTGCAGAGTATATATATGGACTTATCCCATGAATAAGAAATTCACAAAGGAGATGTAAATGAAGATATACGTGGAAAGCTATTCAAACTTAGGTAACTGGAAGTTGGTATCCAACGTTATTTTTCGCTTAAAGGAATAGCAAGTGTGGGGGAAAAGTGGCTTTGTTAGGTTAGTATTTAGGGCAATAAGAACTTGCCTATATTTTTCAATAAGGTTATAAATTTTCACAACCTTGCTGAAGGTAGTCTTATGTTACGTATTAAAGTAATCTTTGTAGTATGTATTGAAACATAAAATGATCATATACTTCAACACAGCCATTCAACTTCTATGGATTTCTCTTTGGGAAATTATAACACTAATAATAGTATTATTTACCAATGTCATTTAGTAGCATTGTGCTAAGCATTGCATTTATTCCTTCAACAAATAAATACCGCCAAATGCTTGTAAAACAGTGATGCTTTCTATGATGATGCCTCATTTTATGATCACAATGGCTCCGTAAAATATCATAATCATCTTAAAGACGGAATAACTGTGAATTAGAGACATTAATAAGTTTGTCCGGGCCATAGAGATGGAAAAGCAAGGGGATGTCACATGAACCCAGGCAGAAAGACATTGGAATGTAGAGGGCGGAAGAACTCCAAGAAGAAAAACCCATGTGTAGGGCTGGTGTGGAGATCGGATAATAGGCAGGCGCGTAGCTATATACACGTGCAGATAGAAAGTATGGATACAGTGTTTTCTATCAAACACTGTAACTGTTTATAATTCTGAAAGATTAGAAACAATCTGAATGTTCACTATAGGAGCTTGTTTTAAAAATGTGTCACAGGTATGTAATTGCTGCTGAAGATGCCATTTTTGGTAAGAATGTACAACTAAACGGGGAGGTATATTGACCTTAATTGTGAGTCATCACATTTGGGGGGAAGTATTTACTAATTCGAGGGCCCACAAAAAGCATATGTATTATAATTACCTATTTGGAAAAAATACTATATACATAACCATATCTCTATCTGCATGTAATAGAGTCTGGAGGAGTATAAAACATAAAACAATGTTTCTCAAGATAGAGACGTGGAATATATCTATTTTAAAGAGTTTCACATTGGATTTTCTTAGAGTGAGCAGGTGTTATATACTGTATAATATCTCCATTTAAAGGTAGATATTTTAAAGGCTATCTTGCTAGATATTTCTAGATAATTCTCCTTTCAACTTCTTCTCTCTTAGCTTCTTTTCTGTCTGTAGTGTGCATTATCTTCTTAAGTTATACAACCTATTTTTAGTGTTGGAAAACAGGAACATCACCGATCCAGTTTATTGCAGGTTAATATGTCAGTTTCTCACATTTCATAGTCTCGTTTAACAATGCTGCATATTAAAATTCAAGCCAAGAGAGGAGAGAGAAAAGAAAGTATAGTTTAATACATATTGTTCCCAAGTAGAGAAGTTTTAATATTAGTGGTGTGTTGAATTGTGGTTTCTACAAGGCATGACCGTCTAGAATCTGTCACTGACATCATATGTAGAAAGAGGGTCTTTGAAGGTATAATTAATTAAGAATCTTGAGATGAGCTCATGCTAGATCAGGGAGGGAAGAAGGTATAGAGGAGGCGACCACAGGAGACAAAGCTTCGGAATCTGTCTGGTAAGCCCTGGCAGCAGCCACTAGAAGGAGAGATGTGGTGTGGATTCTTCATGGGATCCCCAAAGATTTCAGACTTCTGGCTTCCGCAGCTGTGAGAGAATGCATTTCTACCACATTAACCTGCCACCCTGTTGATAATAATGTTACCGTGGCCGTAGGAAATAAACGAAAATAATTTAAAATATCATTTCTTTAATGCATTTTAGGAACAATGCAATTGGATGAAATAAATAGCATTCTGAACTCAGTGTCTTACCATTTAAACTCTGTCCTATTTGTATAGTTCCAGAAGCAAAATGTGCAATGGATCCACTTAGAGTTCTTGTATCGAAAGCCATGTTACCCTCCTCCACGCCATTGAGAAAGAAGTTGATTTTTGTTCGATGAACCTACAAGAAATTGTCACTATTATTTTAAGTGCATAAACATTTATTTTACTCTAACCATGTACCAGCAGTTTTCTCAAGTTACATTACTACTTCTCCACTCTCTTCAGTTGTAAAGGCTACAATTTATTTTAATAGCACAATGATATCTGTGCTTTTAAGTCCAGACATAAATCTACATAGTGTGGTTTTGTGCTGTGATGACTCCTGCATACTCACAGGTATGCATATTGTCCTACATATGCACCAGTTTTGACGGCCATGCCTTCATATATTCTAAAGATATGTTGTTTCTTTAATGTTTATTGAAATTGTTATGGCTATATTTGGCAATAATGAGATTAATACAAAAGAGAGAAATTCAAAACCAGAAATATAAACAATACATTACATGTGGATATAATTCAATTTAAGTTATTAGAACAAAATAGTTCTCATAAATATTTACTCTTTTAGGGTCAGTATACAATCGGTGACTTTCAGATATATTTTCCCAATGCAGAATAACACAGAAATTTGCTAGTCTCACTCTAAGTTAATCAATCAAGCAGCCTAATAAGGTCCATTTACTTTCAAGGTTAGCAAACTGTTTCTATAAATGGCCAGAAGATACTTTTTTTCTTTGAAAGCCAAATAATTTAATTTTGTGGACCAAATGGTCCCACTTTATAGCGCCTCAACTCTGATACTGTAATGGAAAACAACAATAGGCAATATGTAAGTGAATAACCCTGACTTTCTTCCAACAAAACTCTATTTAGTAAAATGTGGCCAGCCAGATATGGCCCACAGGTTGTAGTTTGATCCCTGGATTATACCATAAAAATGTACCGAAGTTTTGTTTGTGAGGCATGATCCCTGAATAAGCAATTCAAATTTTTTATGGAAAACACATCCAAGTTCCTATCTACACAAAATCTTTGATAATTCATGTAATCCTGGCTAAAGTGGTCAGCTGTTTTGACATCAAATTTAGTCTCTAGAAAGTGGTTCTGTTCAAGTGCTTTTAACTTAAATGCAAAAGCAATCTTCAGCACTCTAGTGAGGAAAGCAGTTCCAAGGGCAAACAAAAGATTCCAGAAAAGGAAAGGGTTGGGGAGGGAGAGAGGCAGATTTAATGTTATGCCATTGCGAGGCTGGAATGTTAACACTTTAGTTAAAACTATACAAACCGTAGCACTCAAAATGTTGTTCTGCTACAGAGTTAGAGCGATGGTGATGAATCAGTGAAGTTCATCAGTGTAACAAATGCACCTCTCCGGTGCAGGATTTTGATGGCGGGAAAGATAAATGGGTATGAAAGAGGGGGCGGGTGTGGGAAATGTCTGTACCTTCCACTCAACTGCTGTGAGCCTACAAATAGTTTAAAAATAAATTATATTTTAAATGTTTCTCTGTTAAAAATGACTCACAATAATTAATGAAGATAACATTTAGTCTCAGACATCTTTACATTACTCTATGAATTATTATCCTGAGATGTCCTTTTGAAAATTCCCAATCAAAAAACACAACTAAACAACAACAAAATCTGGAAGTTAATGTCGTAATTATTTGGTAATAACCAGTTTTTCAAAAAGATACCCAATATAATTTCCCTCCATTCTAACCAACCTGCCTTCATTTGAACATGTCCTTTCTTAAATTCACTGACCCCAGTGTTGTATTTGATTTACTTTTAAAACAAAGCTTTCATAGACCTAAGATCACACACCAACTCTTCGTGGGCCTAGATCTATTCCTCTCTCCTGGGTATTAGGGCTGCATTTTTTGTTTTGCATCCCATTTTTTACAGCCTGTTACTGTCGTTTGGTGTTTGACTGTTATCATTATAAAAGATACAGGCTTTTCTACTTTGTTATTTGTAGCATTATCTCATGTTTTACAACATCTTTGGGCAACATGCAGGCACATGAAATATAACTAGTGAAAAGTTCTCGGTGGTATTAATGCATAAAAAAGAATGTGGTTTCATCTCTACTGTCTTTACCCAGCCAAAAGCTGATGAACAGCCAATTTTCCTTTATCACATTAGCACAGCCATGAGGGAAGCACATTTGTTCTAGTCAGCTACACTAAAGATACTATTACCAATCTAACATATACATGTTTTATATCAGCAGTATTCTCAGAGCATGAGAGAGCCAACAATATATTAACACTAGCATGACAGTTTATTTAAGAAAAGAAAATTGTCTCTGTAGAGGGACAGAAGTTAGAAATGTATGGCTAAAGCTCAGTGTCACTGGTCTAATAAAGGTAATAATTTCTAGGCTTTCTTTATAGCAGGTAACACTCCTGCGACAGTTCTGTCATATCATTCAAATAAAAATGTTGTCTTTTACAAGTTGAAGTGTACCTTTATTCTGAGTCAGATAGAAAGCGTGTTTTTGATTTTCTGCATTCACTGTATTATATCTGCAGTCAAGAGTTTGGGATCTTTTTTCTCTCTTTTTTTTTTTATCAACCCATAACTTATTTGCTTAGTAGAAGAATTCAGTGTCACTTGAAGTGAATTCCAGGGGATGTGTTCACTTGGTTGGTGCTTGAAAAATGATTAATGATGATCCCAAGCCACTCTCTCCCTTTGTCCCCTCCTCTACCAACCACCTTTCTATAAATAAGATGAAATCATCTTTGGTTTTCCGCACCATGTTTTATGTTCCAAGAGGCTCCCAACTGTTTTACAATTCTGATCTGGGGCCTATCACACAGAAATTGTGAGGACTACAGTGGCTTTTTGCAATAGCTCATGTGGATTATCCCCTTGCCAGTTATTGAGGGGGAATAGGAATACATACTATGGAATTTCTGATTTGTGAAGAGAAAGTCTTCCGCTAAAGTGAACTTTCCACCTAACTCATTCCCCAGCCCTCGGAGGTTCGGAGTAGCCTGTGCATGGTTAGTGATGTGCCTGAGATGGATGAACTGGAAAACCCAGCAATAGTTGTGGAGAGGTCTGTAAATCCCCCTTATAGAGGATCCAAAAACACTTTGGGAAGAAGACTTGGATGAGCGAGTTGTTCTCTACCTTTTGTTCACTGAGAGTTTCTTCTATTTTAATCACTCTCTTGGTTGAATTTGTGTCCCTGTGAGATGTTTTACTCATTCCTTTGAATGCAAGAGTGTATTGCATTTCTTTAAAAAGGTGCAATTCTTCACCATACCCTATAATTCTCCTGCATGATTAGTGGGGAGTATAATTCAAAAGACAAGGAAGTTCCCCAATAGCTAAGCAGTCACCAAAGAGAAAACAGCATCAAGCTTGCCTGGACTACAGTAATTGTCCAAAATCACCTGTCCCCTGGAGATCCAGATCTTTGTTTCTATTCTCCTCCTTCCTGCTGCCCATTATCAGCCCAAAGAAACTACCGGCTCTGGTTGAAAAGTGCATAGGCAGAGAACCTGGGCTGGCTTCCTCAATGGAAAAATGATTTTCTCATTACACATATCCTAATTCAAGTTCAATTCAATACAACACCAGACTAGTTCCCACAGTGGCTCTGTAGGTTAGATCAAGAAAAGTAAGTCATGATTTTTTTTCTCAAGGTGATTGTATGGGTGATAACAGAATAATTTTAATATCCTAGATAGTATTTTAATCACTATAAATGATAATGGCTATTTTAAATGTAAGTACTGAATCTGAATACAGCCAATGAAGCATTGTAGTTTCCTAAGCAGTTTCATAGAGAAGCTGTCCTAATCTGTTCATATGTGTGGTGCATAATTTGTATTTGGACCTTCTCTCTAAGACTTGTTTACTCAGAACCTGTGCACAAGCCTCCTAAGAAGACCAGTTTTGTCAATATGATAGGTATCATTTTGAAACAAAAGCATTTTAAACATTCTGACTGATGCCTTTTTAATATATTCAACATAAAGTGCTTTGGCAACATATCTTAGATGTAAATTTACTCTCAGAGGGTGATGATGGAAGATACAAATATAAAAACATCATTTTGGATGTGAAGGAATTCAAGCAAAAAGAAAACCACTGCAGTATGACTCAAAAGGGAAGCTTTATGGAGAAGAAATGTTGTAGACATTCTAAAATAGAAATGGCCCTGAAATAGAAATTTCTATTTCTATGTGAAAGAAGGATTTGCAGGAAAGCTTCTACCATACTATCTGTAATTTTTAACCCTAAGACAATTTATCCTGAAACCACACGAAGTTATTTTAAACTAGCACGTGTATGTCGTAGGACCTTGAGAACACGTGGACCCCCATCCCGAAGTACTTAACACCCTGAGCCTACGGTCCCTTCTTCTCACCCAATTTCATTTCTAAACTCTAGCCTGATTGGTGAGGTCTCCTGACTGTCTGGCCTTTGCACAATATTTAATCCTCTCTCCATGATTTATTTAAGCCATTTCCATTTGGGCATTTACCTGAATTTTTAGTATTTTTTAAGACACACATCTCAAGTTCTATATCTGCCAGTAACCCTTTGACAACTATGTTAGTGTTACAAAAGTAGTTAAAGCTTGTTGAAAAATTAGTATGTCAGCCATTGTTCTAAATCTTTTATGTGTATTCATTTTTTATCTTTACAATAAACTAGGGCAGTTTTGCTATTATCGCCATTTTAAAGATAAACTGAATCACAGAGAATTGAAAACAAAAATTATTCAAGGTCAGAGAGAAGGTTGATTGGTTCCAGAGCCACTTTGAAACAGCCAATTTTAATTAGCCAATTAAATCCAGTTAGCACGAGGGAGTAGGAGCCATGTAATTTATTGTCCCATCGCCTGAACCCCATCAGGTAATGATTCAGGCTCCATGTCAACATGGCTCACAATAAGAAGGGTAAAATCTTCTGCATGCTTCAGTCACTTACAATGTACCCAGTACTGTGCTGACATTTTGTTACACCAAATCACTCACCTTTTCCTTCACCCCATACCCCACCATTCCACCACAGTTGAAGTTTTCGAGGCTTCACTGTTCTAATACTATGTCCTTGCAGACTTCGGCAACTCTTTCATCTTTGAACAGCT